AACAGGGGAGCTATCATTTATACATAAAAAATTTTAATAGAACTTTATATACAAAAGGCATTCAATTTGTGTGATATAATTTAATGTTGGGAATATTGGTACCCACATGTGCTAATAAGGGAGTGAGGTCATGAGAATAAAGAATCATTCCTAACTGGTAGTATAATATAGTAGAGGCTTTCATGGGCAGTACTTTGGTAGCATTGTTAGACTTTAGACATCTTTAAAATTGTCTTTTTGAATTTTATGTGTTTTTTTCAATCAAGTTGTTACATGTACATAGTGTTTTAAAAATACAATTAAGATTATAGTGAAAAACAGCGGGCCTATCTTGCGATTCCTTTTTCCTTTATGCAACTAACTTGCAACCCTTTTAGCTATGCCAATACTTACTTCCATATATCTTATGGCATATGTTAGATGGCTTATAGTCATTTCTTGATTTTTTCAGCTTCAGAGAATGACTTTCTACCCTAGAATAAGAATTTACTTCTCTACCTCCTCCCTACCCCAAACATCATAAACTTCTCATCTTCTATCATCCCAGTATAGCTTTGTGAATATTTTTAGTTGAATCAGTTTTCAATCTTTACATCCTTATCACTTTGTAACCATTATAAATAGCCTAGAAAAATTATATCTACTAACTATATTTTGCTAAGGTTAAAAATTGCCTTGTTTTCTCTTTTGTTTAGTTTTCTATGTAGGAATCACAGTCCATTCTCGAATTCTGCAGAAAACTGAAAAAGCTCCTTGTTATATATTCAAACACATCAGAAATTCTTTCAGGGTTGGCCTGTGGCATAGTGGTTGAGTCCGGCATGCTCCACTTCAGCAGCCTGGGTTTGCGGGTTCAGATCCTGGGCATGACCTACACCACTCATCAAGCCATGCTATGGCGGCAACCCACACACAAAATAGAAGAAGATTGGCACAGATTTTAGCTCAGGGCCAATCTTCCTTAAGCAAAAAAAAAGAGGAAGACTGGTAACAGTTGTTAGCTCAGAGCAAATCTTCCTCACCAAAAAAAAAGAAAAGAAATTCTTTTGGTGTCATTTTCTTCTCAGAGTCATCCTTCCTAATTCCAATCTGAACTTGGTACAGCTGTCAACCTAAATCCTCCCTTTGCCATTGTCCTGGGCATTCCTACCTCCTCTCTCCTGTGTTGGATTCTCTGTTACTCAGATCCTGTGTCTTCTTCTTTCTTGATTTACTCCTTGGATTTGGTGGAGCATATATTCCAGAAACTTCCAGACAGTAGGTGCGTCACACCTAAACAATTTTTTGAGACTTCGTGTATCTGAAATTCTCTATTTTCTTCTCACACTTGATTGCAAATTAAGCTGGACATAGAATTCTAGGTTGGAAATTATTTTTCCTCAAAATTTCTAAAGCATTGCACATTGCCTTATTGCTTTCTGTGTTGCTTTTTTTTTTTTTTTTTGCTGAGGAAGATTTTCCCTGAGCTAACATCTGTGCCAATCTCCCTCTACCTTATATGTGGGTCACTGCCACAGCATGGCTGACAAGTGGTGTAGGTCTGCACCCGGGATTTGAACCCGGGCCGCCAAAGTGGAGCGTGCCAAACTCAACCACTATGCCACAGGGCTGGCCCCTCTGTGTTGCTTTTAAGAGGTCTGATCCCATCCTGATTCCTGATCCTGTGTACGTCACTTGCTTTTTTCTTTCTGGAAGTTTTTAGGATCTTCACTTTATCCATAATGTTTTGAAATTTTACCATAATGTGCTTTGATGCACTGTGTCATTAATTCCTGGGCATTGGATATTTCCTTTTGACCATAAACTTGTGTCTTTCGGTTCTGGAAATTTTTCTTTTATTATATCTTTGAAAATCTTCTCTCTATTTTCACTCTTCCTCTTTTCTGGATCTCCAATTTGGGATATGTGTTGCATCTCCTGCATTGATCCTCTCTCTATATATATACTTTTTACTATTTATCTATTTTCTTTTTATCTTTAGCTTTTGATCTATTTTCTATGATATTTCCTTAACTATATCTACTTAATTGCTTCATCTTCTATTTTTAATTTCTGGGTACCCTTTCTTATTTTCTGCTTTTATAATTTAATAGCATTCTGTTCTTAACATCCTTAATTCATTAACTCTTTTTCATTTTTAATATTTTTATTGTTTTCAGGAAAGGTCCCAATCTCTTTCATAAAAAGCATATGGTTTGTAGATTCTCGAATGATTCTATTAAATTCTCCTTTTAGGAAGAACATAGTTAAAATGTCCATGATACCTAAAGCAATCTACAGATTCAATGCAATCCCAATCATAATCCCAAGGATATTCTTCATGGAAATAGAACAAAGAATACTAACATTCATATGGGGCAACAAAAGACCCCGAATAGCTAAAACAATCCTGAAAAAGAAGAACAAGGCTTGAGGCATCACAATCCCTGATTTCAAAACATACTACAAAGCAATAGTAGTTAAAATAGCAATGGTACTGGTCCAAAAACAGACACACAGATCCATGGAACAGAATTGAAAGTCCAGAAATAAAACCTCGTATCTACGGGCAGCTAATCTTTGACAAAGGAGCTAAGGACATACAGTGGAGAAAGGAAAGTCTCTTCAATAAATGGTGCTGGGAAAACTGGACAGCCACTTGCAAAAGAATGAAAGTAGAGCATCTTCTTTCACCATACACAAAAATTAGCTCAAAATGGATCAAAGACCTGAAGGTGAGTCCTGAAACTATACAACTCCTGGAGGAAAATATAGGTAGTACACTACTCGTCATCAGCCATAAGGGATCTTTTTGAATTCCTTGTCTACTCAGACAAGGGAAACAAAAGAAAAAATAAACAAGTGGGACTTCATCAGATTAAAGAGCTTCTACAAGGCAAATGAAACCAGGATCAAAATGAATAGGGAACCCACCAGCTGGGAAAAAGTATTTGCAAACCATGTATCTGACAAGGGATTAATCTCCATAATATATAAAGAACACACACAAGTGAACAACAAAAAAACAAACAACTCAATCAAAAAATGGGCAGAGGAAATGAACAGACACTTCTCCAAAGAAGATATACAGATGGCCAATAGGCACATGAAAAGATGCTCAACATCACTAATCATCAGGGAAATGCAAATCAAAACCCCACTAAGATATCATCTTATACCCATTAGAATGGCTATAATCACCAAGACAAAAAACAACAAATGCTGGAGAGACTGTGGAGAAATGGGAGCCCTAATCCACTGCTGGTGGGAATGCAAACTGGTGCAACCTCTATGGAAAACAGTATGGAGATTCGTCAAAAAATTAAAAATAGAAATACCTTATGATCCAGCTATCCCACTACTGGGTATCTACCCAACGAACCTGAAATCAACAATCCAAAGAGGCTTATGCACCCCTATGTTCATCGCAGCATTATTCACTATAGCCAAGACATGGAAGCAACCCAAGTGTCCCTCAACTGATGATTGGATAAAGAAGATGTGATATATATATACCATGGAATACTAGGCAGCCATAAAAAAAGACAAAATCGTCCCATTTGCAACAATATGGATGGACCTGGAGGGTATTATGTTAAGTGATATAAGCCAGAAAGAGAAAGACAAACAGTGCCTGATTTCACTCATATGTGGAAGATAAAGCAACACACGGACAGATAGAACTGTTTGGTGGTTACCAGGGGCTAGGGGGTAGGGGTGGGCACAAGGGGTAGAGAGATGCACTTATATGGTGACTGACAAACAATAATGTACAACAAAAATTTCACACACACACAAAAAATTCTCCTTTTAAAGACAGTCTGGGAAGCATCCAAAAGACTTGGTATGAAGAGTTGTCCTATTCAGGTTCAAAAACTGATATTTGCATTTGTATTGTATAGATTAGAGAAACCAAATCTGTAAAAATTTTTAATGACAATCTATGTCTGAATCCTTTCAAAAGCGAGATATTTATTTGAGGAATAATTGTGATAGTTTCTTTTTCATTAGAAATTAACATTGCTCCCCAAATTTTGTCTCTATACTACCTCATTCTTACAGTCAAAGTAATAGTCATTAGACTAAGAGGTGTCCAGGAATTTTGGACTACCAGAAAGAAGTCACTATCTTCTGAAGCTATTGTTGCCATAAAAACGAAAGCTTGTCTGTTGTAGTATAGTAACCACTTGAGTTGCTAAAATTTAACCTCATTTAAGATATATATGTTGGCCGGCCCTGTGGCTTAGCGGTTAAGTGCGTGCGCTCCGCTGCTGGCAGCCCGGGTTCGGATCCCGGGCGCGCACCGACGTACCGCTTCTCCGGCCATGTTGGGGCCGCGTCCCACATACAGCAACTGGAAGGATGTGCAACTATGACATACAACTATCTACTGGGGCTTTGGGGGGAAAATAAATAAATAAATAAAATTAAAAAAAAAAAGATATATGTAGAGTGAAGTTGAAAGAGAAGAAAGTAGTTTGCCTTGGAAACAGTCATGAAAAGTCTACATTCTCCTTTTTTCCAACCTTAGTGAAGGTTTCTCATGGTTGAGTCTCCAACTCTGATCAAGCACTGTTTTGATGCTACACTAGGTGGAGGCCTGCTGTGTTCATGGAATCAATTCTTTTCTTTTTTTTTTTTTTT